TGATGTCACTTATTGGTTGTCTGCTTTGCTGAAAATGATCGTTATATTGTTTCATGTGTTTTTGGTCAGTCATATGTCAGATAGGAAGTCAATACAAGAGTGCATGATTGACCCATCTTGTTATGCTGGAATTTATTATGAAGAAGGCATGGATTGCAGTCGAAAAACCATATTGTTGTTCATTATGTCATGCCACAGAACAGCACCGAGATAGTGCCAAAATGAAGCTATTGACCAGTGCCAGTACACAATGTACCACATTGGCTGAGTACACTTTGTCAATCCTATGATATAGCAGCTTATAATTTATGAATGACTGGTAAAAATTCATTCAACAACTCCAAAGGACTGTCTACGGCAAGAATGTCATTGCACCACAATGGTTATATCATGGTTAACTATTAATTGCATGAATAATTATAAGCAAAAAAACATTCTTGGTAGCCCAACCTTACCATCTTTACCACAATAGCAATGCTTCGACAATCAATGCATGGTAACGTTACAACTTCGTTAATTTTCGCATGACACCACACTTCCAGTTACAAACAATAAAGACAATGTTACAAATTTGTTCATTCTGGCACGACACCCCATTTCCACTTAAAAACAATAAGGACAGTGACTTCTGTACACATCACATGACATCAATGTCAGGACTATAGCACTGCGCGCAGCGATGGGTCGACGATAAAGTATTGGCAAAATCATCAACAGCAAAGCAGCAACAGCAGCCGCACAGCATATCGTGCTTTGATATGAATAATCTGCCATAAAAGCTGGCGATCGCTACGTTGCGCATGTCAAACAGTCCACCAAAGCCTTTCTTACGGCCAGCACCAAGACAAAAAATCCATAAACAACCCACCCACCAGTCTGCCCCCCGACACAGCACCCGCGATGAGGATGGCCAGTTGGCGTCAGCTTTCGTGTGTTTCTAGGTATTATCTAGGTCTGGCTGCCAGTTGCTGCCAGGTTTTGCTGTCGCCACAAACCCATTTCATGACGCCATCAAACAATGACGCAATGGGGCCCATTCTTACAAGCTTGGAAGTTTTGCCACTTAGCGTCGTTTTTGAACTTTGAAAGCTTACCAACAGTTACAAAGAAGTATTTCCCATCACATCTGATGCCTGACACAATATTTTCGAATGTGGAACATTCCCCTTCATGTCACACGTAAGTTACGGATCCTAGAGCAGTAAAGATGAGAGCAACAGCAAGACAGACAAAAAAATCAACAGGCCACGACCGGTAGTGACAGTTACTTTTTAACCCCATCCCACCTTCCCCTACGGGTTTTACAGCTTTCACAAAGTGTGAAATCTGCGCACATGAAGCATATTGTTTCAGTACCAGAGAATTGTTTTCCCTAAATCAAGTACTGTATTTATGCGCCCGCAAGCCACCGCGTCTTTAGCTCGGAAGACTCCCGCATATTTCTCGAATTTTCGACTGGGGCATTTCCAAAGTGTACACTCGAACCCAATAGTTTCAATTCCATGAAAACTAACGCACTGGTCGCTGTCTGCGAGTTGGCATCTGAAGAGAAGACTGATTGTAGGTAGGTCAGTCTTGTAAGTTTGCCCAATACGTCTGCAGGTTTACCATCGTAAACTTATAAGCTTACTGCTTTGACAGCAACTCCATGCTCGTTTAATCATGAAGTGAATGTTCGATAGTGGCATGGGGGTTTGAACCAAAGTAGCCCTCTTGAAGATAACACGGTGCAGTTCACAGCTCTGCCCTACTAAAGACCTAAACCGCTTTGGTTTCTGAACTAAACACCCGCAAAGATGTGTAAACAATTTCGTGCAGACTATTCTAAGGTTTTCCATGCAATCATGACGCCCTTATAACGTGATTCAAATCCTGTCATTCTACTGGCCACGGGGTGTTTAAGGTCAAGGAAAATACAATGATCGATTCTTACAAATCCGGCGTCCGTGAGCACGATATCCAGCTATAACGGCCGTCAACAGGCTCTTGGCGAACGTCAGTCAAGTTTGAAAGGTCCTAAAACAAACTTATTCTTAGCTAACACGATAATTAGACTTGTAATTAAGAAATAAGAAGAGCGCTTTAACCGAGTATGAGTACAAGCATGCACATCAAACTCAGATAAATGTGTACGAGAAAGGGCAGAACATGGGCACATAACCATATTTGGCTAAGCGAGCACTTACAGCTCGTACTATCATCTATCGGGAGACTGAAGAAGCACAAGTGAGTGCTTTATCAGTACCACCGTCATGCGTGGTCATACAACTTCCCTGACGCAATCAAACAATAATGTGTTGAGAATGATGTTAACGAAAACGAAATTTTTCTTAAGCAGTGTTTTCCACTTAATGATATATCGACAGTTATAAGTGAGATTATTTTATCATCTCTGATGCTTGCCTCAAATTTTCAAGTCTGGAATGTCCCTTTCAACTTACTGAGAGATTCTCGACACGTTCTCAGTGCATTGTTTACGCTCTCATGTTGCGTTTTATTTTGCATCTTAATTAAAGGAATAAATAGATAAAATGATAAGTGAATGAATTAATCCATTGATCAATCAGCTAATTAAAATGTGAATGAAATAAGATGCATCTTAGCGGGAATGATGCAAAGGTGATGCGTTTGGGTACTTTTGGCAGTAAGGGCATCAACTATCAAATGGGAGGCCAGAAGCTGGATCAGATCGAAAAAGAACAGGACTTAGAAGCTACAATTTGTTTGGGATTTTAAGCTGGAGAGCAATGAGGGGCTGCTATGAGCAAGTCACTTTGGATACTGGGACTTATTGACATTAATTTTCATTAAAAGGGTAGGAATGTTGTGAAATGTACTTAGCTCATGTCAGACCACATCTAGAGTATTGTGTATAGGCTTGGTCACCATGCTTCCAAAAAGATGTCGATAGGCTGGAAAGAGTACAGCGAAAGCAGCTAGGATGATAAATGGGATTGGCAGCTTAGAATACAAGGCTAGGCCTACGGCTTCGTATTTATATTCACTGAAATATCGTAGACTTACAGGGCATCTGATAGAGGTATTTAAGGTATGAAGTGAAAGGGATAGAGAAGGTAGATCTACGAGGAGCATTGGAAATTAGGCTGGGATTTAGAGCAAACCATTTTCAATCAACAAAAGGTATGAGTAGTACTTTGAAGAGGCAGATGCCATTTAGTGAAAGACTAGTGAATCATTAGACAGGACTGCAAACAAAGCTGTAGGAAGTCTTGATCTGGCAACATTTAAAAATCGCTTGCACAAGTTCTATTGGTCCAAAGATCTCATTTACAGTTAAACTCAGGCAGGTCAGGTGGTAAGGCTAGTGTCCAGGTTGTAGGCCGAACCTGGGGTAGGCCAACCTCGATGGGCCATGGTGGCTCTATGTTGGCCTGATGTCTTTTTGTCCCAATGTCTTCAGGAATGTCATGTTTGTTTGCTTGTGTGTAGGTGTTGTATATATATATATATATATATATATATATATATATATATATAGCCTTCTGCACATTATACGAGCTGTCACGTTTGGCAAAATGTTCACGCGGAGTTGCTAACGCAGTCAGTAGGCTGTAACAAATATAAGTTACGCCTCTAGGCTGCTGCTGCCTTATATATTTTACATCCTGTCTTTTCTATATCACCTGCTTTTTCATTCCTTGTTCCTGTCGTTTACATGTACAACGCACGCGCAAACCAATTTTGCGCTTGCGCAGGTGTTTGCGTGCGACGTTTGGTGGCGGCCACAATCTGCTTGTCCGGCGAAAATTAGTGACATCCGGCGTGACTTGCCTCCAAGAAGGGCTTTGCGGCCATCCCCGCACTCGCGCCGTTTCTACCCAGATTTATCTCCAAGGCGGCATTCCGCGGTTGCGATTCGCCTCGAGGCCACAGTGGCCAGGGAGCTTTACTATCGCTATAAGCGATGTTAATGGCCAGTGGTCGCAGCGGAGCACTGGAGCAGCCCGAGGCAGTGCGGCTGGAAATCCCTGACCCGAGGCCGTCCCGTCTGTACCTAGTTCCAGGGAGAGACGAGAGCAGACCGTGATATTAGTATGGTGAGGTGACGAATTTTGCGCCTGTCTTCTGAATGAAAATTGATTAGTTCCTAATCAAAGCAAGCGAATGAAAAAAGAAAAAGTCGAGTAACGCTGCGGCTTATAAGGCCATATTGCAGCGTCCAGCCTTCTTACTCCCAGCCGGAGTAACTACAGGTCCTGGCCTGTGAGCCTACGCATGGTGGGGTTGACCAGCCTGAGGCCCGATGCCCGATGCCCGATGTATGAGATATTTGTTCTTAGCCTAGACTGAGACAATCCAGCTATACCGCAGTACTGCCACGCTTCCAAGTACTACGTAGGTGTCGCTACAATGTCCTTTTTAATGGACACCATTATCGATGGCTAGGTACCGCCACTAAAAGTTAACAATTCCAAAGGAGCGCCTCTCACTGGTATGAAATATGCCGTCAGGTACTGAAACGAGGAACTAACAGACAGCTACAATAACAAACAGCTACAATATATAAGCACTCACCCGATCACTGATGGCTATTTCAGTTACTAGTGATTTTAGGGGGCCGTGAAGAGCTAACTCAAAGTATTTCAGTTACTAGTGATTTTAGGGGGCCGTGAAGAGCTAACTCAAAGTATTTCAGTTACTAGTGATTTTAGGGGGCCGTGAAGAGCTAACTCAAAGTATTTCAGTTACTAGTAATTTTAGGGGGCCGTGAAGAGCTAACTCAAAGTATTTCAGTTACTAGTGATTTTAGGGGGCCGTGAAGAGCTAACTCAAAGTATTTCACGCCAAGACTGCCGACTGCCAGTCGACCAATACACAGCCTCGGTTTGGTCAGGCAGCGCCGGTATCACCTGAAAGGTCCGAGGCAGCTGGCGCCAAATCTCCCAATCAAACCAAAGAGACCAAACCAAAAAAGTATAACAGCCCAAAAATATACATAAATAAATCCCCAAACCAAACCAAATCAAAAACCAAGCAGATCGTGACAATGATGTATTCAGGACTTTCGGAAACTCATGCCCGGTAATCAGTCACGTCCGAAATCGCCGCATATCTGTCCCTGCTGCAAGGCTGCAGCGGAACGTGGAAGAGGCAACATCAAGACACCTTTTTCCATCTATCTGCCATAAGAGACATTTCTGTCGGGCTGGTTCGCCCGCTGGATGGTGCTGGTGCTGGCAGGGCCGGTGGCGATGCCCATGCTCCTCTGGATGAAGTCGAGAGCGGTGACGGTGCTGGCGAACACCCCGGGCACGTCGCGCTCGCCGCAGTTCAGCGCCCAGGAGGTGATGCCCGCCAGGACGTAGGAGCCGTCCACCGGGCACGCTAGCGGTCCGCCACCATCGGCCTGCGACGGAACACGCGCCGGCCGTCAAACTGACGCAAGACATGTCGTCAAAAGCGAAGACTTCGCCGGGAACGAGAGGACGATAGCTTGTTTTTCGTGAAAGTAGACCACATTCGCTGCTATCATGAAATGTTTGCGCGTTTCATCGATCCAAAATTTTCCTGGGTGCAAGGGTCAAAATGCTGCAAACGATCGTGAACTTTACAGTCAGCGCATGACTTTCAATTTGCTGTTAGATTTTCTCCTGCTGATAAGCTGAATTTAAGCGGCCAGCTTGATCGAAGTGAGAAGACCAGGAAATATAAACATAAACACCCGGAAGCTGGAACAGCTGTAAAGCCCTCTGAATTGGGTGTCATCAGCTTATAATTGAGCCTGCCACGGGATAGCGACAGACAATTACCCTGCAAGCGTCGATTCCCTCTTCTCCTCCGGCGCAGATAAAGCTCTTGTCTAGCCTGAAGCGGTCTCCCAAACCTGACTTCTTGAGGTTGGCCTGGCAAACACTGTAAGCGACGATAGGAAGCTCCACTTTTCTGAGGACAGCCGCGTACTCGTCTGGGATGGCACAGAAAACCGGTCAGTGACTGCCTTTTCTGATTGCTGATATTCAACAGACGCTTCAGGAAGCCGCGCAGCATCTTTAAGCCTATATCTTATCTTTGGCACGATAATGGCTCATAGTTGTGGCTGACAAAAAAAAAAATTATCGGTCACCACGCATTAGAACTCCGGAGAGTATCTTGTGTTACCAAATAGAGGTCAATATAAATGCTTGATATTGGCAAAAGATGTATTCAGCTCCTGACTTTTTGGCGTCAAGAACCGAGAGGTCGTATTTTGGCGACAATTGGCCTCCAAAATATCAGGAGGCACTAAATAAACGACGTTATCAAGGAAGCATTTGATATCTGGGAAAAAATACGTTTTCCCATAACGTCGATTTTTGTCGAGTTAACTCACTATACTGAACGATTTCTTCATAACGCCGTTTGCCCAGTTCCTCCCAGCCTATCAAGGGAGATTAGTTTTAAAATAGGATCTTCCGGCAATAATATGCCATGTTTTAGACTGAGCAGAATGCCGTGGTAAGCATGACATCATCATATGCGCTTGCTGCTTTCAACCAGCCAATCGAAAAACCAGCGATCGAAAGTCGATCCGCCTGCCCCGCCGCTCCTCTACAGAGCGCAGTCGACCCGCGCGGCCGAGACGGCGCGCCGGCTGACTGAGCTCTGGTTGACTGGGACTCCCCTACAGAGCGCAGTCGACCCGCGCGGCCGAGACGGCGCGCCGGCTGACTGAGCTCTGGTTGACTGGGACTCGGCCCCGTTCGCACTGACCGTCAAAGGCGATCTTGCCCCAGCCGGAGCCGAGGCAGCGCCCGGTGAAGATCTGGCCGGCCTGTGGCAGGCAGATTGGCTGTACGTGCGGCCCCAGCAGCGCCGGGCGGCTCAGCTCCAGCACAGCCACGTCGTTAAACAGGGGACCCTCGCGGAAACCTGTCCGGGAAGGAGTGAGCGCGTGAACATTGCGCAAGTCAGCGAGGGATTGTCTGTACATCTTGCAATGTGACGGAGAGTACGAGACGTGCTGCGATGCTGAATGAAGAGAAATGGTGCTTTGAGTTAACAATATTTTGCAATTTTTAAGGCTTGACCTGACGTGACCCCGACTTGGGATGACCCTTACGACAGCCTTAACACTGTTCTCAGTCACATTGGTTTCTGACGTACTTGCGGTCGGATTAAACATGATTCTTCAGGCATGGCCTGTTGTTACATTAACCTCAAACAACCTTAATAAGGGCCACATACCGCCTTCGGACACCGCATTAAAGCTTAACGCATTCAGAACGACCAGAAAAGATCTGGCGCACACAGGGTCAAGCTCCCGGAGAAGAGTGTCCTATGTGTCTCGTTTGCAGTGCGCAGAGCGCTGAAAATGCCGTCACTCTGCGCCACCGAGCCTGTGGCAAGGCCAGCACCAACTAACCTGGATGCATGTGGATGACGGAGACGCCGACGTCCTGGTAGGGGTAGGGCTCTCTGAGCGAGAAGATCTGGTGCTCGCCGAGGCGCACCTTAATCTCATCCGGCTTCATGCTGAAACGAGAGTCAGTCTGTTCCGGGCCGAGCTATGCTCCCTCCACACGGCGGTGCGATGGATGGCCGGCCACGCCGGTGCTGCTAATATGCCAGTGGTAGCGTGCACGTATGTCCACGGTCTTATTTGAGATGCGCTTCAGTATTTGAGAAGGATGTAAAACGGGATTTGGGCGCAATGCGGCATACGGTGACGGGGTTTGCCTTAAATATACGGGATGGCTTACTTTGCAGCACTCTTTCAATCAAGGGCACAGCCAGGATTTTCTGAGGAGATTTTCTGAAGGCGGAGGTAGTGCATACGCATCACGCCGTTTTTACCTTTCTGCCAGAAGATATCGATGGAGAAAATGAAGAAAAATAAGGGCATGAGGGAGGCCGGGTTCCTGTCCCTCCCTCTTAGCTGCTCTCCTGTTCTCCACTGACCTGTCCTCGTCCTGTCATGGGGGTGTCAGGTTCTAAATTGGTGGGGGGGGGGGCTGCTGGGCCAATTAAGTTTAGTTAGCCCGCTCCCAAATCCTGACTTTTCCACGGACTTCGGATGCTTTAAGTTGAGCCCCTCCCCAAATCCGAGATTATAATTTAGAAAAATATATTTTCTTTTATATTTCTTTTTTATACAGATTTTCTTTTTATATTTTATATTTCTTTTTATTATTTTATATTCCGCATATTTCGAAATTCCTTTCCTGTTGAGGAATGACTTTTCATTTGAAGCCGACGTGATAGTATAATGATTTGCTTAGGTGCATAGTGTACCAGCAGTTTACAGAAACCTGTTGCATTTAATTGGCCCATTATTCCCTTTCCGTCCCTGTGCATTGAGGGGACTCAAGCCAGTATTGGGGAGAGCTCAGCCCCCCCCCCCCCGAAGTACAAAAATGACGCCCCTGCCTGTCATGCAAGCAATGCGATGGCTTTGTCTTAAGTGGGGCCAGCTGTGACTCATCGCGACTGACTCAGGGAATGTTGTAATGGGGCTCTTACGACAATGAGTTCGGCGCTTCACTTTGATTTCACCACAGTTGATGGTCAGATTATTCATGTAGCCTGTGTGCCCACTGCCCACGGCCAAAGTGATTCATCTCGGTGACGCTCTCCGGACGTATCGAATGTCCATTCCCTGGCCTATCTCGGTGACCCTCTCCGGACGTAGCGAAGGTTCACATTCCCTGGCCTTGGTACCCTGGCACCGCGCCGTCTTTGCACGGCTGAGCGGTGTATCACACCCGAGGCGTGCGGCGGACGGTGGGCGCGGCCACGACACTGCTAACCCCCGGCTGGTCTGGTGCAGCCCCGAATCCTTCAGCACGAGCTTCGGCAGCCGACTCCTCCCCTGATTTGGCGAGGGAAGTAGGTCAACCCAAGACATGAAATACACTGCGCCACTTCGGTTATGCTGCTTTTGAAATTGTGGACTCTGCTTAAAGCAATTCCGCTGGGCCAGGGAGCACACACCAGTGCCTTGTATACTTCACATATATGTTGGTGCGCACTCAAGTGATCCATACACTCAACATTTGTGCTGAGCATGCAGAGCGTCTGACCCTTGATTTGGGCGAAGATTCGTCGATGACGGCTTCGTCATGCTGTGCCGTCCCTACGCCATACCCCCCCCCCCCCCTCTGCAAAGGGGAAGACGGGACAAAATATGTTTTACACCCTCTAAAAAATGGGGAGGCCCCTTGTCTTCAACTAAAGGCATCGTAGCTATAGGTAGAGAATCAATATTTAGATAAAGGAAGACTATAAAGCTAGACAGTAATAAATCCGGTTTGGAAAACTTTTCCCTACACTAAGAGACCCGTTTTTAGGTTCTAAGGTCATTTTTATGAATAAGGTAGCCAATGCTATAGATCAAAAAGTGCAATGTTGGCCCACGTTTTGCCCTTTGGCCCCTTTAATGGCTCTGGAGGCCCCCGTTACAAAATAGGAGGCCGCTGTCCTGGTTTAGGAGGCATCCTCTGCATTTAGGAGGCCCCATTTCTGGAGCAGGAGGCCCCTTTCATGCATCGCATGGCCACGGTTCCGGATCAGGGTGCCCTGTTTTGCGATAAAGAGGCCCCTTGTCTAGATTTGGAGGACCCTTCGTGTATCGTAAACATCCCGTTTTGAATTAGGATTATGGATTTTATGAATTTTTTATCTTTATGGATTTTAAGGCCTTTCTGGAAAAAGGCCCTGTTTTAGGTAATCAAGACCCTTTGCTCCATAATTAGAAGATGCCCACCCTACATTTTTGAACTATTCACTTTTATTAACTTGGATATGATGTGACAGTTTGATAAGGGGCCACATGCTCTCATTGTCCCTCACCCTTGTATGCGACGCTGCGCAGGACCCACTGCGGTAAAGGCCCCATTTTGTACAGAAAGTCTCTAGAAAATCCTCTACCCCTCACAAATGAAAAGCTACGACGCCGCCCCTGATCGGTTTGCTATCCAAGATGGAAGTTCGTCTAGCCTTTTTTCTTGATCGTAAACGTTCATGATGAAATGTTCTAATGCTGTGTCATGCCTTTCGCCAAATCCACGACTAAGTTCCTTCGAGCCTGCTGAAGCTCCCCGAGAGGCGCTCATGCAAAAGCATGAGCTAACCCCACCGCAGAGGAGGACACAGGACATGGCGCTAAAATCAAATCCGATCTATCACGGATGCAGCCGTGTCAAGTGTGGCCTCGTGCCCGGCTGTGCCGCCCGACTGGGGACGGAGCCCTCCGAGCGCCGGCATGTCCGCGACGAGGTCCGGGCCTGCGGCTCAGGGCGATCTCCTGCCGGATATAGGCTGACGCGGAAAGCCCGGGACGCCGTGTCCCGTCACCGGACGGGTGGGGCGTCCCTCCAGCCGCGCACGGGGCGCAGTTGGGCGCCACCCACGCACGACCACCAAGGACGTCGATTGCCGTTGGTTGTCCGTTCAGTGAGGCGTGGTGAGGGACACGAGCAGCCCATTACCCCTCTTTCCATTCATCTTAGGCATATTTTTGCTGGGTAGTCCCACTTGTACTCTGGAGAGGCCACTAAATGTCTCATATCAAGCAGTGAGTAAATGTTTGCTCCACAAAGAGACGATTTTGTGTTCGATTCCCTCAACAACTCTATTTTGGAATCCTTCGCAAGATGAAGAGGCATGAATTGCGCAGCGTTAATGGCCAGCGCAGTTAGCAAATACGCTATGAGGGATGTGCAGGGTAGCATAATGTGCATGACCCCTGTTAAGTCGCACCCGTCATTCCTATCACCGATATTTACAGCTGCTTCTCCCCAACCCAATCAATTATTCATTTGGGTGTGTCCCTACCCCGCATGCTTCACTTCGTGGTAACGAGGGGGGGGGGGGGGAGGGCACACGCAGCCACGGGTTGTACTCACTACTTGAGGCAGTGGGCTGCTGTCGCGACATGCCGCTCACTGACGAGGGTAGCGCCGCAGACAAACGTGTTGTTGGTATAGTAGATGATCGCCTGCCACGGCATCTCGCCTGTCGAAGAGAGCGTTGATCAGCGACGGGCGGTCGGCGCCAACAACGGGGACTGCGACGGCGCTAGGAAGATGGCACGCGTCAGGCGGACACGGAGCACTGGAGACTGCAATGGCGCACAAGAGGGAGCACTGCGGATCCATGAGGTGCACAGTTACAACGCATTGTCTGCTGTGAATGTTCGGGCGTTAGGTTATCAGAGCAGGCTGGTCATCTGTAATCTGGATTAGTAATCCGTTCAATGATTTTGTGCATATATGTGCAGCAAGAAGGTAATTGCGCCTCGCGCGAGCTCCGCACCCGAGAGGGGGAGAGGAATGGGGGGAGGGCGAGAAAGGCAGATATAGATTGAGAGAGAGAGAGAGAGAGAGAGAGAGAGAGAGAAAAAAAAGAGGAAGGTAAAACACAGCCACGGGTTGGGAGAGGGATGGGGACGGAGGGTAATGGAAAGAAAGTAATGGCATTCACCCCGACATATGAAGCTGTCTTACGTAATGTGTTTGCTAGATTTATCTAAAACCTTTGACGGACCATCTCCGGAAAGCCCCGCTTTATCACGTAAACACTCATAGCGCTTATGTTACCACATTCCGATAGATAAAGGCCTGGTCGACCGTGGTATTCTCAGTACAGCTAGGGTCGACTGAGTGATAAACAAAGCATATCGAACTAATTGCTTGTTCCACACGCTTGCCTAACAACATCAGCAGTCAGTATTAATTCAAGAACTTATGTACTGCACGTGCCTGGTATAACCATCAGAAATCTGTCGGCAAAATCTGTCGGCAGGGTAACCAATAGCATGCATCCAAAATCTGACCAGCATACATCTTGCATGCAACATCTGCAGTGTCGTCGACTCAGCACGAAAGCTCGGGTGTGGGAGTGCAACAGACCCCATCGGTCGGCTGAGGGAGGGCCACGCCGGCCGACACGAGCCGCCCCGGCGCCCGGCAGCGCTCCTCCCCGGCGTCTGGCGCGCAGCCAAGGTCAGTTTCGACAGAGAGTCACGGTCGCTGCGGCGCTGGCTCCGGCGACCTTCTGAGAACTAAGCTGGCACACGGAACTGGCAGACGCGGGGGCACGCGGCGGGCGGGCGAGGAGGGCCCTGATGCCAGCGGCTCAGCCACCTGGGCCAGCGAGCCGTACCGCAGCTCTCCTCCAGAAGTGATCGCACGAAGCCTGACGGCATACTTTCGGTGGCTTTTGCAAGGTATTCACATCTGACGCGCCCTGCCGTTGCTGACGAGTTCTGTGTCCGCGTCTGGGCGTGTTTGGGGTGCTGCTGCGGGCGGATGACAGCACGTGGGTGTCGCGCTAATCGGGAAGTCACGTGTCGAGTACGATGAGTCATCCCTATCGGGTGGCAAGAGGACCTGGCGTGCAGACAGGCTGCTCTTTACATGTAATCCCGGGCGGGCTGGGCAATCGCCGCTGACTCGGGCAGCGGACAAGGGCACTGGGCTGCACAGCTTTAGCCCTCCGTAGTCACAGTGTTAACTCGGTCATGGTCAACTGCAGTCTAATTCTGACGAGAGAAGTCATCAGCCCATTGGATTTATCATTTAAGTAAGGTGTTTTGCCACAATTAGCTCACTGCTACATCCAATGCGAGCAAAGGTACTAATGCACTTGTGATGTAAGGGGAGATGGAGAATCTGGAGAACTTAAGCTTTGTAAGTCTCTGAAACAAAAAAAATGACGGACGCTGGAATCGGATTATTTTACAAAATCTAAGCTGGACGTACGCCATCTGTGCACGCGAGAAACGAGTTCCGATATTTTTTTGCGATGCGATTATTTCGAAATGGCCAGCATTTTTCATTTTCTCGACTGAAGTGGCAAAAGCGGGTATTAAAATGGAGCACTGCTGGCGTATGCAACACGGCATGATGGTACACGGCGCGGTGTACCCAATTAAACTGTGAACAGAGGAGAATATTGTGTTTTCCTTGCGGCAGGTATGACGATTCTGCGATAGTGTTTCCGAATACTCAACAGTCTCGCTACTAGCGATATGGGGCCAGAGTCCAGGAGACCGTGAATTATTCTTTCATGATAACCCCTTTACCTTGGCATACACTGTGAGACAATCCTCGGCAGGCAGGTGAGAATCGTGTGTTCGGTATTACTAGATGTCCATTAGAGCTCAAGGGCAAACCGTGCCCCAGTGAAGGCCAATGGAATCGTTGGTTGTAAAACAGTGACAGTGAAGCATTGAGTTAGAACGATAAAACACCTATGCGATACCTTCCTGGATGCGCCATTTTTCAGCGGAAATAAACCATAACAGAGGCGGTTCCTGGCATCTAGCTCAAGACTCGTACAACTTACAGCATCTAACTCACAACTAACAATACTCACTGATGGCCTTCCGTGTCGCAACGGTTAGAACTGCTCATGATGCAACACGTAGTGCACCCTCTCGCCCACAAAAATTACCGACCGCATTTAAGCACTGGCTGCAACCTACTTTTTTCGTGGAAAGTTGTGTTCATGCGCTAAGTGAGCCAACCGAAACGGAACTATTCGCTACATATTTAGACCGCATACCCACTTAAGCAGAACTAGCCTAACCACATAACCAGAGCCAGCAGTTTTTCTTTTTACTTTAGCCCGGTTCTTTATTAGCTCCTTCCACACAAGCATTTTAAGACAGCGGCCTAATTTGGTACCAAATCTTAAATTATTGAGACAAAAGTTGGATAAGCATGAACAGGGCCGCCGTTTGCTGTTTGCGGTGCTTGATCATTTGGTCCCACGTGACAACGTGTACAAACGTAGCATGTAATATGTGTATATATATATATATATATATATATATACGCATGTATGTATGTTTGTATGTATGTCAGAACTGTGTGTCTGTGAAATGCAGTGGAACAACATCGGTAGTCAGCCGAATAAATGCTGGCGTGAATAGGATTATTATAAACCTATTTACATGACTGCATGAACCCACGGCAGACGGGGCACGCATATTATGTATACGCGTGGTGTGAGCCACAGTTAGCGTTGTATCATATCACCGAGTTCACCAAGAAAAGACCGTTAACTTAAAAGAATGTGCTTTAAGCCGGAGGACCGTTCGATTTTTAAACGCTACAAATTACGTCATTTAGAATTGTCGTTTAAATTGTCACGTTGAGATTGTTTTAGAAACAGAATATCAAAAACACATCGCACAAATATTCTTCAGTCTCTGTGCATGACATCAACGTGCGTACTTGTGGCATGAACCAAGATCAAATGTTACCACTGTGTCACATTGATCACAAAAAAGGCCACGTATGGCACGAATTTCTAAGTGGTGCCCTTACACTGATAACCAATCGCATCGTGCAATCTTCTCGTGGCCTTTCTCATGGAGTGGTGTTGTCATTAAATCAGGATTCCCATGCAATATGGATGATGTAGAGGAAATCATGAGCTCAGACCTGGGGGGAGGGGGGGGGGGGTGAGATAGCGCTCAGGTGTACGTCAGGGAGCGTATGCGCCAAGGGTCGTGCGGGTCATGGTTTATGGTTTGATGTGGGAAGACGGTGCAGATCCAGAGGAGCAAAGGTCACGGATAGAGACTACTAGACTTCGGAAATGTTGCAGCATGCGAACTGAGGAAGTGCTTCAACGGAGGAGGAAGGGGCTGCGTCAACTAAGTTCAGAAACGTTCCAATATTGCGCTATGGTTGCACTTAACTGCCTCTATTACTCTCTTGTTGTAGGTTTTGTCGTCCATCACTTCCATCACAGTCGATTCATTTGGTCTTTAAGGACAATTTTTACGCAGCGAATTAAACCAATCAAGTGAATGCATGCAAGCATGGTTTCTTCGTTTATGGGTAAGATGAATGAGCAAGAAGGAACGAATGACAGAGCGTGAGTTATAAAAGTCAATGAGGCTACTTCGCGTCTCGGAAGCCGTCCGCTGCTTTCGCAATTTGGACAACGTCACTGGGCAGTTTGGGGAAAATCTTTGGGAAAGAATATCATGTGCATTCCAGGAGAAAATTCCTTGTTTTATCACATAGGTTCTATCGCTGCCATATTAGAACTATCATTCCTAATCAACATAATATATTTTCAGATTGACTAAAAGACCTTGTTAGTTGTAGCCCCGTCCACTGTGTCAACTGGACGGAACGACGTACCGAAGCCGGCTTGGCCGGACTGAGCGCTGGCCGCGCCGATGACGTTGCTCTGTCCGCAGGTCGGCGAGCTTGAGGCCCCGGACCCGCCAATTGAGCCCTGCTGGACGCCCGCCGGCGCAGCCTGCTGCTGCCGAGGGCGGCAGCACACGCCCCTGCCGCCGAACGTCGTGCGGCAGTACTGAAACGACCAACACAAAATGTAAAAAATATGAGCAAAAACATATTACATACAAACAAACGTTGCGGGAAATCGAGAATTTGGGAAATGCCAACAAACATCCACTTACGCCCGATGCCAACAAACATCTATTTGCAATATGCCGCATCAGTGGCTTACGTAGGAAACATGGTGAACGATAGAAAGCTAATAACGATAACAGCTGCAACAAAAAGGATCCCGCGCCGCCAGTAGCATCCGACGCACACAGGTATACTTTCTCATAAATATCACCCCCGTTAAACAGCAACAGCGAAGGTAGCGTTGTCTGTAAGACCTCACCACGGGCCGAGTAATACCCACCGTAGTCAGGGTGGGGCTACGATTGCCCAGCGCTGCCCTGTTGGTCACGAAGCCGTCGGCTCCGCAGCGGTTTACTTCGACACACTGCTGCCCGAAGCTGCAGGTGATCTGCCCCGCGCCCTGGGCCGAGGAGCCGCTCTGGGGCTGCTCCAGGCTGGAGCCGAACTGCCTTTGCCCGGCGGGGGTCGACGTCTGGCTCTGACCACGGTCGCGCGCGGCGAAGGCGCCGCTGAGGAACGGGTTGCTGGTGTAGTCGCTCCTCTGGCCCGCCGGCACGGGACGGAACTGCGTGCTCGTGGTGCCAACGTTGCCCCGCCTCGCTCCGTTCTGGAAGACGTTCGCGCCGCTGATCAGGTTGGCACTGGGGTCGACGAACGGCTTGGGCTTCTGCTGGCAGCAGACGCCGGAGCTGAAGCCGGCCAGAGCGCAGCGCTGCTGGGCCACCGTCGGCAGCGACGGGTCCGACGGACGGTCCAGGCTGCCTACGATGAATCCAGTGTACGGGTCGCAGCTCGACTCGGTCACGCAGAGTAGTCCCGAGGCGCACGAGGCGGCGACCGGACCCTTCGGGCCGGAGTTACCCGTGCCCGGGTTGCGGTTGAGATCCTCCGGCCGGATCGGGATGAAGGGACGCGACGTGACGAACTGCTGCTGCTGGAACTGCTGTTGCTGGAACCGCGGCTGCTGGAACTGTGACTGCTGGAACCGCTGCTGCTGCAGGAACTGCTGCTGCTGCTGGTACTGCTGTGGCTGCTGCTGGAACTGCTGTCGCGGAGCAGCCTGCCGCTGGCTGATGAAGGGTGCCGCTTGTGTCCGCTGGGCTCCCGTTCGTCCGCCGGCAGGTCCATCGTATTCCGGCAGGAACGGGTTGTAGTGTCCCACGTGCCCCGGCTTGCGCGGTGTTACGTTTATACCCGCTCCGTAGTCTACGGTGCTGGAGGAGGGCGGCAACAGTTCGGAAGACACGCCACCCAGATCGGCAGAAGCCTGGGCTCCATCGTGATGGTCGTGCTCGTCTCCATGTGCTCCGTGCTCCCCAGCGTGATCTCCGTGCTCTCCTGAGTGATCTCCGTGAGCTCCATGCTTCCCGTGATCGTGGTCGCCGTGATCGCCGTGGTCGCCATGATCTCCGTGGTCGCCGTGGTCTCCGTGGTGCCCGTGGTCTCCGTGGTCGCCGTGGTCTCCGTGGTGCCCGTGGTCGCCGTGATCGCCGTGGTCGTCGTGGCCGTGGTCGCCGTGGTGATGCTGGTGGTTGGGGTCGGACAGCCTCGGGTCTCCCGGCAGCAGGTTGGGCGCGCCGCCGGCCAGCGTGGCGCACAGCAGCACACACAGCACCAGGGCAGCCCTCATCCTGACGGCGGCGGTGCGCGCGGCAGAATGGAGCTGCGCTGGCCGGCCCGAGCGCAGCGAACCCCCGTGCCGCAGGCTCCTCCCCCGACGCCGGGTCGGCCGTCTCAGCTCTCCCGGATACCGCCGGTCGGCCGCCGCTGCGCCGCCGCCCGTGTCAGTGATGTCACAGCCGGGATGGGCTCTTTGTGAGCCGCGCTCAGCGGTTCGTTCGGCGGTGTTGGATGTTAGGCCACAGGGGAGGGAGATGATTGGCGTCTTGTGACTTCATGTCGTTGGTTAAGGGGTTGGTCTGATGCTGACATCCTGCTGATGTATGTTATCCTCTCACAGTTCGTGACGAAGTGCTGCAGTATAGTTGGGGCTTTAGCGCTTTGTCGTGCCTTGGGCTTTAGGATCGATTCGCGGATGCTGACCATTGCCCTTGAGCACGGTATTATTTGCCGAGGTAAGTCGACCATTTTTGCGACTTTTCACGTGTCCAGGCAATATTGGTTGTCTTCGTCCTTAAGCTCCCGGACGGGCAGACGGGCGCAGGAGGAAACGTACCGGATACTGCAACACGGGGGTGTTGACCTCAGCAATGTTCGCAAGTCGTCCTACCGAAAAATCTGTCTCCCGTAGAAGGGAATATTTCATAAAACAAACAGCTTATATGACAGCTCTGGTCCTGATAACTGGTCCGGCCTGGTCCGGTCTTAACTGGTCCAGACACTGGAACTGGACAATATGGAGCAGACGCTGGAGAGAGGAGGGAGAGAGAGAGAGAGGAGAGAGGAGGAGAGATGAGAGAGAGAGAGAGGAGAGAGATGAGAGGGAGGAGAGGAGAGAGAAGAGAGAGAGAGAGAGAGAGAAGAGAGGGGATGAGAGAGATGTATGGATTATTGGTATATTATAATATATATATATATATACTATATATACTAAACCACATCTTTCAGATGCCAAATCGCTATTTACCAACGTGTGATAATCATGTCATAGATATCAAGGTGTGTGGCAACAGGGCTACAATTCACCGATTCATTCTACCAGGCTTGCAGTCGTGTTCGTCCTCCGTCCCGTGGTAGCCGTTCCCTCCCAGCCAGGTACCAGGCATCCAGCAGGGACACTAAGCAGGACTCTATCGAGCGTCACTGGAAAATACAAAGCCGCGCACATCACTGGAATATGCAGCACGGTGAGCACGCGACCGCTGTTGATGACCCGCCGCCGGGGGGGGGGGGGGGGACGTCACCGGATGAGGATAGGCAGGTGGCACGCCATGAACGGACTTGGAGCCTAACGGAAACGTAACGGCAGCAAGCGCCAAAACATGCCATGTCTACCACGACTTCGGAAGGAGAGCGCAGCGTTCGTGTTGTCTGCCACCAACCACTGAGAAACCAATCATTCCTGCCACGTATTGATGGATGTAATGCTTGGATGATTGCACTGGAGTCATTCCACGTAAAATACCACGGAAATTTTCGAACTTCTTTTAATTCGATCCCATCCTGTACACCTATAGTACCCAGCGACAGATTACCATACATTAATCTTCAGCTCCTCGTGACCTCTGAACTTAGAGCTACAGGTCATCTTTGGGCATGAGTTTTCACCGTTGTCAGATCATGTAGATATGCAATGAAATTCACTGAAAGGTGCACATACCGCCTTTAATAGAAGTATTCACATTTTGAAACACATCTATGATCTCCGTGGCCTTAATCTTACCTTTCACCGGATGATGCTTAACTGAGCATTTTCTGTTTTTACGATGGTTGACGACCCGGATTTTTTTACCGCCCGCGCCTAAAAAAATGTAACAGGTTAAGGTAGATAATTGACTAAAAGTGCATGGAAAACAACTTATGGACTGTTGAATACTTCTGCACACTGCACATATCTTTGCTTAAAGGTCATGTTCTACATGTGAAGATATTGAGGCAAGCTGCAGATATGACAAGACTCAGTTGTAGCTATTCGTATGATTTAAGCTTAAAAGACTGTTTTTAGCAACAAAAACCGTTAATTAGTCAATATAAACCTCATTAAATGGGTTTCGATGTGTACTCTTTTGGGTAGGTCACCGTTCCGACCCACCTCAATGCTTAATTTGGCCCCCAAAAGTGATTTTGCCCTTCCCCGTCCCCACTTCCAGCCCTCTGGAGCCCGAGCAGGTACTAGCATGATGTTAAAAGTGAGAGGTCAAAGTTATATGAGTAGCTAAAAAAGTATGCTTATTGTTTTTCAGGTTTAGGAAACAAACAATATTCAGCTTGCGATATCAAGTTCGGTTAGGTCCAGGTGACTGAGCCAGCCGCTGTTTAAATATCCCTGTTCGTGCCCTGTTTACTCGAGTATTTCCTTCCTTCTGCATGCCGCACGTTTTGAAGTGTGCGGGTGGTATGTCTTGACAGTGGCCTAGGCTTGTGCTAGTGTCTGAGCGTTTTGGCGATGTTCAGCGACGTGTCAGGCTCTACATGGTACAGCAAGTTGCATCATTTTTTCACGTCTTGTCGGTGATTAAAAACGATCCAGTCGAGTACCAGCACCCAAAAACGTGAACAAGCTGTTTGCCGTCTACTTAAGGAAGAATCTTTGAAATGTGCTGACCTTTACTTCGACGTGAATATTCGATGGAACAGTTACGGAAATCTGGCGATCTACGCCTGCAGACTGAACCGATAGCGGTAATCGTCCGACAGTGACCACCAAAGCAATACTAGCCTTGTCGAACATAAGTAACGTGAGTGTTGCGTTGCAATCTGCACCCCGCCTTGCAGCTACCAGCCGGAGGATTCCATGGCAGCCTTTTACACTCGCCCAGGTGGCCGGCTAGATACCCTTCGCTCGGGTGGGGGTCAATTTGACCCCCCTAAGATCTCGGAAAATGAGAGGGCTAGAAATACCAAATTTACAGGGTGTGCTGACCTCTACGTAAAGTCACTTAGGTCAAAGTTTTAAGCTCTTAGGTCATGACCTTCGGGTCAAATAAGGTCAAACAACTTCAAATTCCAGGTTGGTCTCCAAAGTGCTCCCATAACTTAGATAACTGTTTCTAAGCAAAAGGTCACATGCTCAGCTAAGGTCAGTGACCTTGTTTGACCTTTTGAAGGTCATGGTGACCAAAATCACACAAGACTGCTCTGGGTTTTGCATTTGAATAAGCGAGAAAGATTACGCCAAGCAGTATTTTCCCCTAAAAAATTGGCCCGGGTCATTTCAGGTCAATGACCTATTCTGACTTCTAAAAAGTCCATGAAAGATGCATAATGCGGTTCCTGCTATCAATAAATTCGAAGTGAGCACTGGAGCGCCGGAAACTATCCCATACAGCAAGCCCTAGAGTAATAATGCAGGTTGGTTTTGACCTTAGTCTGACCTTCATACCTGACCTTAGGTCAACTTAATTTGCTCATTCATTATTTTGGTTGCCTAAGAAAGTGCTTCAGAGATGTATGGTTTTGTCTAACACTCCGTTCTTGGATCAGATTGAACGATTCCCTAGAAATTGCCTTCGCTGAAACCATGACCTGACTTTCACATATAATAGGTCAGCGACCTTACAAGGTACATCTAAATTTGTGATGCCAAACGATTTGCTATTTAATTTTCTAAAGCTATGCAAATTTGGTGTGGCTGCGCCGTACCGTTTGAAAACCATTCTGGAAAAACTTTCGGGAGGGTCAATTTGACCCCCACCCGAACGCGTGTTAATAGTCTCGCACATCAACTATCACCCTTTACTCGCGAAACAGCACACGTCCAACAACGCCTGGAGCAACGTAGCATCAACCCTATGTCGATTAATAAAACCTGGTTTCGACGAACAACGCTGAACAAAATGACGATGATGCCCAACGGCACTATCCTCCGCCGAGACAGAGCGAGCGGGGCAGTAGTTCCTTGTTAAGTGTGGTAGGGGAGGGGTAGGGGACTCCAACCCGATAACGTTGGGAGGAAAGGGGACCAAAACCATGGAGAAACCTGCTTTAAGTGTATTTAGGACTAGATTTCCCCTCATCTCCCCCCAATCCTATTCTGCGAAACTGCACCCCTGTATTGGAGGACTAGCTGTGACACGCACGGATTCGCCGCATTAGATTACACCAGATTACTCCAGCGTCAGGCCTGGGACTTAAGTACCCATTTCCCAGCACGGGCAACGCCGGAAGCTTCTATTTGCATTGATCGGGTCCCCTGAAACTCCGAGGATCAAGTGACGGTCAGGGGCCTACAGCGCCAAACAGAGAGTTCTGTGTCGGCAAGGTGCCCCGAGCGGCCAGGGGAAAGGTTGCTGATCAAGGATAGGGACGGAATCCCAGATGCCATGGAGCCTTTTGCGTTGGTAGGAACCCTTTGACAAAGAAAGGATGTGTGAAAACTCATGATGAGGTTCCCCATTTAGACAATGCAAAGGCCCGGTGTCAGTCAGGGCCCCCAGTACCGATCGGGTCTCTGCATTTCATTTCAGTCAGTGGCCTTTGGGGCCGAGCTGGACTCTATATATCAAATATTAGCCTACCTGCGGGCAACGACGCGTCTTGTTGTGTCAATGGGGGCTCTTCCGCTGATTCCGCTGATCCATTGCCAAATGCTCGGGTCAGGGGCCTCCGGCGTCAGAAGGCGACCAGCGTATCATTGGCCGCTTTTACAGCTTTCCTATCGTCCAAGGGAACTCCGCCCTTGTGTCGCCAATATGGCCGCCGGCAGCCACCCTAGGCTATGGCAAAAGGGGTATTTTATCCTTGACCGGAGAATACAATTTGCCGCCTAGTGTTATGCCCACTGGACCCCTGCCAGAAAAAGAGATAAGTGGTGTCCTTAGTATTCAGTAGGAAGGATCAAAATGAAGTCCAGCACAAACACGAACGAGTATGTCACAGTCTAACACAGCCGAGTACGTCCATCATTGTTCATATTCGACTTGTGCAACAGACCTCATGAGGCAGTTTTGAGCCTGCGTGTTCACAATCTTGTGAACAAGAGCACCGATAGCCGGGGGTGCACATCCCATCACAGCGAGTGGT